TAAAATATGATGAAAATGTTTTTAAAAACACACTATTTCTAACTTTGATCCCCAAAATCTGTTATGCAAAAAACACCCATGCTAAATGGTTTCTAAATTTTGTCCTGAGTTTAGAAATACCCAATGTTAACATGTTCTTAGCTTTTTTTTTTTGCAAGTTATAGGGCTATAAGTACAAGTAGGACATTGCTGTTTCAAAATATATATTTTTAAAATTTTAATTTTTACATTGTAACACTGTTATATGTCATAAATCTCTGAATCACAACTCACATGTACATATTTTTTTTAAAGTAGACAACCCAGGGTATTCAATATGGGGTATGTCCAGTCTTTTTTAGTAGCCACTTAGTCACAAACACTGGCCAACATTAGCATTTATATTTGTTAGTGTGTGCAAATGCTAAAAACTATTATGAACGTTAATTTTGGCCAGTGTTTGTGACTAAGTGGCTACTAAAAAAAGACTGCACATACCCCATTTGCAATACATTGGGTTGTCTTCTTTTGTAAATGGTATGCCATCATGGGGATAATTCTTATTCCTGGGCTACCATACGCTCTCAAAGGCAAGATAACCAATCTGGCAAATTTCAATGTGAAAAAATGTTAAATCAGGCTTTATATTTGACCCTATAAAACCTGTACATGGGGGGTACTGTTATACTCGAGAGACTTTGCTGATCACAAATATTAGTATTTCAAAACAGTAAAACGTATCACAACAATGATATCATCAGTGAAAGTGCCGTTTGTGTGTGAAAAATGCAAGAAACGTCACTTTCACTGACAATATCATCTCTGTGATACGTTTTACTGTTTTGAAACACTAATATTTGTGTTCAGCGAAGTATCCTGAGTAAAACAGTACCCCCCCTGTACAGGTTTTAGGGTACCATGGGAAGTTACAGTGTTAAATACAGTGCTAGCAAATTAAATTTTCTGGACTTTCAGCCTGGGTTGTCAGGCAGGTCCCTCAAATTGCAATCAATAAAATTACTTAGTTATGTAAAAATATTACATAAATATGCACATAGAATTTAAATATATATACATATTTATATATTTGTAGTCTATGTGAATATTTATGAAATTATCTATGTAATTATGTATTAAGGATAATATTAAAATACAGTTAAAATAAAATTACATATATATAATTTTTTTTAAAAATAATTATTTCAATTTACTTATTATTTATATTTTATAATAATATTTATTTACAATATATAGCTATCATATATATTATATATACGTGTGTAATTTAATTATAAGTAGACATTCAATTCGTTCAAGTGCGAACTATATTCGGTCAAATTTTGGCAATTTGGACATTCTGATGCTTCGGAATGTCCTAATTGTTGAATTTCCAGAAGTGCCAAATTTCCGAAGTGCCGAACCGAATCAAATTGCCGAAGTGTCGAGTTTCGGAAGTGCTTCGGATTTCTGAAAAGTGTCAAAACAGGAGACAGAGGGAAAAATAATGGAATGATGACAGGAATCAAACCCTAACCCTACCCCTAACACTAACCCTCCCTCTCCTACCCCTAACCCTACGTAACCTAACCCTACCCAATGAACCCCCAGTTGGTGGTTCGCCATCTACAGGAGAATGGACAACGGCTGCGAGAAAGAAGAGATAATTACCGAAGGACAACAGGTGATACAATTAACAGACCAGACCAACCAGATTTCGGATGAAGGAATACACCCACTGTACCACCAATGAACTTGGGGATTAGCCCTATATAAAGGGACTTGTGGGTGGGAGTTGTTAGGCTGTTTTTTTTTTAAAGTTCATTATTTGTTTTAACTTCTAAGTTCCCTTAGAAAGTCACATGTTTGGGGACGAAATGCGTAGGACCTACTATTGCTTTTAGTTTCATTTAAAGTGCTAGTTTACTTTTTCATTAAGTGTTCTTGCATAGCAAGACCACTTAATGTTATCTCACATATATATTATTAAGTGTTCTTGCATAGCAAGACCACTTAATGTTATTTCACATATATATTATTATTATTATTATTAAGTGTTCTTGCATAGCAAGACCACTTAATGTTATCTCACATATATATTATTATTATTATTAAGTGTTCTTGCATAGCAAGACCACTTAATGTTATCTCACATATATATTATTGTGTTCTTGCATAGCAAGACCACTTAATGTTATCTCACATATATATTATTATTAAGTGTTCTTGCATAGCAAGACCACTTAATGTTATCTCACATATATATTATTATTAAGTGTTCTTGCATAGCAAGACTACTTAATGTTATCTCACATATATATTATTAAGTGTTCTTGCATAGCAAGACCACTTAATGTTATCTCACATATATATTATTATTAAGTGTTCTTGCATAGCAAGACCACTTAATGTTATCTCACATATATATTATTATTATTAAGTGTTTCTGCATAGCAAGACCACTTAATGTTATCTCACATATATATTATTATTATTATTATTATTATTATTATAGCAAAATTTGCCACCCTAACTCCTCCCACAGATTTTACACTACATAGACAAAAATGTATCAAAACGTGCAGATTGTTCCCGATCGGATTGCTATTACTTTGTGGAACGTTTCGCCGAATGGTTCACGGAATATCATTGTTCTTGTGGCGAAATTTGTCCCATAGGAATGAATGGCAAAGCTAGAGTGGGAGCTGGCAAAAGCTGAAAAATCAGGACATGATTTCTAAACTGCCACCACTCCCTTATTTTCAGGCCCACCTACACAAATCTTCTATCAAAACGTTCAGCTATCATCCCTTTCGCTGCCACTAAACATGTCAACGGCTAAGCCGTAGTCCTGATAGTTTTCACAATATGACCATTTGTTTGCAACCAACGGCGTCCATTGACATTCATTGAAACTTCACTCTGCAAAGCTCAAATTTGAAGTGCAATTTCTAAACTGCGACTGTGCCTTCAATTTTAATACTACAGAGACATACTATGCATCAAAATGTAGGTCTGGGTCTTGTGATTCTCACAATATAAAGCTCTTCACTGTAGGAGTTATAGTTTTTTAAGATACGACCGTTTGAAGATGGCAACCACCAAAATACTCTGACCTGTGTCAAGCTGCAGCAGCAAGTGATGTCATAGACAGGGGCTTTTGAACACCTGCTAATGTTTTTATAAATGTATGGTTTAATGTAACTGTGCAACAACGTTGCAATTAAATGTGCTATGTAAATGATAACAGTTACTCCGCCCACTCCAGTTGTAGACTACAGGTGGAGGCAAGAACATTTCACACAATTTCCCCAGAAATTGTAGCTTTTCTAGTTATTAAGTGTTCTTGCATAGCAAGACCACTTAATGTTATCTCACATATATATTATTATTATTATTATTATTCTTATTATTATAGCAAAATTTGCCACCCTAACTCCTCCCACAGTTTTTACACTACATATACCAAAATTTACCAAAACGTGCAGATTGTTCCCGATCGGATTGCTATTACTTTGTGGAACGTTTCGCCGAATGGTTCACGGAATATCGTCGTTCTTGTGGCGAAATTTGTCCTATAGGAATGTATGGCAAAGCTAGAGTGGGAGCTGGCAAAAGCTGAAAAATCAGGACATGATTTCTAAACTGCCACCACTCCCTTATTTTCAGGCCCACCTACACAAATCTTATATCAAAATGTTCAGCTATCCCTCCTGCCACTAAACATGTCAACGGCTAAGCCATAGTCCTGATAGTTTTCTCAATCTAATCAT